ATTTACAGTCAACATGTGAATCTTACAAAACCTGTAAAATAAAACTTGAAATAATTAAACTTTTTTTTTCAGCTTCAAATATCCAGATTGTTTTCTCAAAAATGATGGCAAATGTTTGTAACTTTTTATTTATTTATTTATTTATTAGTATAATAACAAAAGCTAGGCAGCCAACTAACTAACTTTATATGAAGCTAATAACACTGTGCTATATTTGCTTCCTGTAGCTCTGGCTAGTCAGCCTGACTCCTTTGCTAGTGTAAGAACTCTCCTGAACATAGTTTCTATATCAGGAATTAATATATCAATGATAATAAGGCTATAGTGAAGTTACAACTTTTGCCCTCAATTCTAACTTAATTTTCAATAATCAAACTGTCTTAAAAACAAATCTAAAATAATTTCCATATGTTCTCGTATCTATTTTAAAAATAAAGTTAATCTGCTGAATAAAACAAAAAACAAAAACAAAAAAAACAAAAAACTGAAGTGAGGCACTATTCCCCCAATTCATTCCGCCGACACATTCCACTTCACAGCAGGAAGAATAAATCTGACACCACATTTGGGAGTAAGCCAGCGTGTGCAGGACCACGGCAGCAGCACCACACTTGAACTGGAGGCTGCCATTAATTAGTCATATTGGTTATACTGTTTTTAAAAAATATGTATGCAGCGTGTACAGAAAAAAACGCAGTTGTCTTTAAGTTCCTATTAAATGTGGTGCAACCAGTCATACAAAATGTGTGTTTCGTTTGTGGTAATCTGGTTAAGCACAAATATCTAACGCATGTGAGGAGTAAAACATAAAGCAGAGAAAGCAAGATTTGGACTCAGGATTCCCACAATGCACTGCCACAGAAAAAGCTAACAATAGCTACTTTTTTGATGCTAATTTTCTTTAAAACATTTGCAACTCATCACACCAGGACGTCTGTGGAGCCTGGGGGCAGTTTCACCACTTTATTTCGAGCTAATGGACCACTTCAGGATTATCCTGTTTTGTCAGTTGTGTTGCTTTTGCACCTTAAACTATCTAACTTCTTCCCCACATGACGATTTTGTTTTAAAAAAAAAAAAAAAAAAAAAAAAAAAAGTTAATCGACGCATAGGTCCAAAAATAAATAAATTAATCATTAAAAGCTCCCCAGAAAAGACTATTTGTTGTAAAAACCCACGGTAAAACCTATATACTGAGTAGTACTATTGACTTTCTCGACGGCCCTTGAACGCAGCTTAGCCTCGTTCTGAGAGTCCAGACGGCGGGAAATTTAAAAACCGTTCAATATGTTTAAAGCTAGTTTTTAACAGTCACCTCTTCGTCACGTCTGTGTGAAAAGTGAGTTAATTTTAATATTCAATCTACCTTAACCACTGTACACTACCAAATTTAACATGGCTAGCATCAGGTAAGTGTTCAAAGAGGTTTTCTAGAAGAGGCCTTGATGCTAACTACCGAGCTAACTAGTTAGCATGACTCTAATAAATCTCTCAGCTGCTGTATTGATGCTGTGAAGATGACATGCTAACTCCCTAGCTAACTAGTTAGCATGACTAACAAATCACTCAGCTGCTGTATTGATGCTGTGAAGATGACAAAGCTGAAAAAAACTGCGGCTAACTTGTTGCCTTCACCAACAGGTGACTCAAAGCAATGAATCACATCAGGAATATAAAGGACATGCTGAGCATCCCAACTGGAAGCAGGTGGTTCGCTGACGTGTGCTACCTTAGGCTGAAAATATTAACTTGTTTTATAAACACATGGAAAAAGGCTCCGTTGTTTAGCAACTGTGTTGCTGCATGATTAAACTGTGCTTGTGTTTGTCTTCATTCATCCAAACAACAAACAGGAACGGTGCTACCAGCTGCTACTCCACTTTAACAGACTCTCAGCTCTTCTTCGGGTCTCAGTTCTGGCCTGACAATTCCCAGGTTGCCTCACAGGATATGAGTTTGTCTTCCAGGAACTCACAGCAAAGTTCACAAGAGGTGAGATCTTCATCTTACATGAGGTTCTTGGCCAATTAGTATGTCCTCTTGGGACCAGTTGCATAAAAATGGTAATCAAGCTGCTTTATTGTCATTATTATGTGCATCTAGGTCATACTTAGGTTACAGGCGGCCTTCAGAAGAGGTTTAATCACAAAGGCATTGCTGTACAAATTTATGGGTGTATCGTGCTCCAAGTGATGATTCATATATCAGACAGTATAACGGCTTACAAGCCTGAACAGGGTAAATGTAATTACCATTTCAACACATAACACATTGTTAGTATTGTTGTGGATCATATTCCATGAGAGAATTTGCTGTTTCTGTTAAACTAAGTAGTCACTGTGGTTGTGCACTCCATTGTGTGTAATAATGCAAACCAGTTAGTTGGTGTGCTTTATGGTGGTGCTGGATTATTATGGTTTGTGTGAAGAGGAAGTATTTACATGTTCATAATGCCATGACACAATATAGTCTGATTCATAGATATGTGTAATAAAGGCTAGCTGTCTTAAGGCGGTGTTTCGAACGGGATCACCCTTCGGCCATCTTGATTCGGGGCAGCTCTGTGGCGGAACCTGTGGTATGTGAAGGCAGGTGAGCGATCAGCACAAATGTAAATACTCTTATCTTGCTGAAATTTTGACGGATTTACAAACGTTTTGGTTTATTACTAACGTTATTAACGTGGCTACAATTCAAATTACAAAAAACACAAATAAAATATAAAATAATTAAAATACTAATTGTTGCTGGCCATGAGAGTGTGACATAATTATCCATATGTGCAGTGTCATAACTTCACCTCTTTATAACAAACCAAATCGTTTGGAAATCGGTAGAAAATTGAGCAAGTTATGGTTATTTAAAAGGTTCATGCACCGCTACAACACAATGTTATGGGTGAGTGAGAGCACCGAATCAAGATGGCCGCCAGCGTGGCCGTGCGATTCCATTGGCCGACAGCGCGGACGAGACATCTAGCCTATATCTATGGTCTGATTTGTGTGCATGGAACCGCTGTGGCTTTTGTTAAGAAAACACAACAACAGAATCATGAGTGCATACAGGCTCATTTTTAATCTCTTTATGCTTCTTCTCTGTATTTTGTCACTCTTTAGGGGAGCGAGCCAAAGTTTTTAAGCAATTATCACACTAAACCTCTCCTGTTAGGAAACTTGAACGACAAAACCAGAATCTGTGGAATAGTGGATCAGTTTGAAGAGGACAGGAAAAAGGCAAAAGAAAAAACTGACAAGTACATCTTTTTTTTTTTTAACATGTGAAAGTCAGAACTGTGGTTGAATTCATACTTGTGTAACATTAAGACAGTCCTAATTAGTTACTGATTATGTTTTACAATCTGTTTTGGCTGTTTTGCGTCAACAGTGACCTTTTAGCCAAAGAATATCACCATATCAGAGAAACTCTCAACAATGTAAGTGATGACAGGCGCTCATTTTAATCTTCTACAGCTCCTCTTTTTTGATGTAAAATGAAAAAACAACAAATCTTTGCATTTCAGATTCAACAACTGGTTCTTGACACTGAGAGAAATACGGCTGTGTCCCAAACAACCTCTGAAAAAATTGACAATTTTGCATCAACATGTAAGTTTCTTAATGAACCAATGAGTTTCATTTGTCAACTGTAGATCAAAATCATTTAATCATAAACAAAAACAATGAGCAAGTATTTCTTCATAACAGTAGATGGTGCTGTTTGCCCAGTGATTAAACACCGACCCCTAATTATCTTTAAATTAGAAAAATTCTGTGTTTTCTATGCATTTTTAAAATGTATTGACTTCATTGCATTATGCTTTTTTTTTCTAACTTTACTTTGTATGCTAACCTGTACGCTAAAGCCTTTTATTACCTCGTCCCAGTGCAAATAAGTTTAAACAGCCTTCAGAGTGACGTTTCCCTGCAGTTTGACACTTTGGTCAATAAAGTGAAGTCCCAGAAAGAGGTGATGACAGAGCTGGAGGGACGGCTGCAAAAGGTGAATAGTATGTAGCTTATGCTGTCGGTATCTGAGGTAAAAACACATTTTAATGGCTTATAAATGCTGCTGATCAACGATGAGTATGACTTCATTTTTATCCTCTAGAACGGAGAGGCCACAGCAGAGCTTGAATCACATCTGCACGGTTTAAAGAACAGTCTGGAGAGTCTGAGAGAAGAGCAGGAAAGAGAACGACACATGCTGGAGGAGGCTCTGAAGCTGCTCAACACTTTAGTCTCGGAGCATTCGGCTAAATCCAGCGCCGTGGAGGTGACGGATAGCGCCATACAGACGTCACCAGCGCTGAAGCAGTCAGTGTCATCCAATATCCTGCAGGATGACAAGCTTGATGGCACACAGCTTGCTTGTGCATCAAACAACCTTGAACAAAATCAAGTGGAAGTTCCCCCTCAGGATCACAGCCGCATCATTGTGAAGAAGAAAGGCCGTGCGAGGCCCAGAAAGAGACCAGCGGTGCCCTCACAGAAGAGGAAGTGCAGAGTCTCCGATGAAAACCGTCCCCCTTTAAGGGCCTTTAACAAACAGAATGTTTCAACATGTCTCAGTGATCGCTGTTATCTGGACACCGTATCCAGCCAGGACAGTCTGAACCCAGACTGTCTGATACCGCTGAACGGGGAGGCCGTATCCAGTAAAGCTGCAGGATGTTTCATCAACCCTCTGAACTGCTGGTCTCAGGACAGCAACAGCCCTGTGGGCCTCGAAGGAATCGAACTCATATTAGAAAAGCTTTCACCTGAGATGAGCACGGTGAAACCTGCATCCTTCTGGCAGTTGTTTGAAGCTGATTTAGACCTTTAAAGGATGAGTAAAGGTGTCTTCTTATGTTTGGAGCAAAGGGGAATAAAAGCCCCAAATGTTTATTTTCAGGATTCCTAGTTACTCATGTTCTATTGGAAAGTTATTCCATGTTTTGAGGAGTTCATACGATGCTACGTTTTTAAAAACATTTTGTTTGCCTTATGCATACTGCAGAAGAGCTGTAGAGGGACGTCAGAGAACAAGTAGGTTCAGGGCTGCTTCACCCACAAAACACACATTTGAAATGTTATTTAAAAAATATTGTGCTAGTTACATGTCTGTGCTGACTTTTTAGAAGTAATTTATTCTTATTTCTATTGTTGACTTTGCATTGAAAATAAACTCAAATCAAACAAAAACCTGCTGTTTAATTTCTCTAAACCTTGTTTGAATCCTGAACATCCATCCATCCATTTTCTATGCAGCGCTTAATCCTCACTAGGGTCATGGGGGGCTGGAGTCTGTCCCAGCCAACTTAGGGTGAAGGCAGGTTCACCTGGACAGGTAACCAGTCTATCACAGGGCTACACTTAGAGACAGACAACCAAGCACACTCACATTCACACCTACGGACAATTTAGAATCACCAATTACCCTCAACATGAGAGAACCCACGCTGCACGGGGGGAACATGCAAACTCCACGCAGAAAGATTCCGGTGCCCCCACCGGGACGCGAAACCGGCGACCTTCTAGCTGCGAGGCATAAGTGCTAATCCTGAACATGTGATAAGTAAGGGAAGCAACCGTCCGCTTCGCGTCGGACGGTTCACGCCTCCGCGTCGTCCATTAATTTCTGATAATGGACACCTCGAAGGGCATTATCCCGCTTATACCATGGTCACTTACGAAAGATATTACTAAATAAATATTAAATCAATTATTAATACGTTAATGTTGTTTTTTACCGTTAAAATCGTAAGTTTTCCACAACAAGCGGCTGAGCGGACTATTTCATGTCTCTCGTTGTGACGCGTTGCCAAGGTAACCGGTCGGCCGCAGCTGTTATATTATTGCTGTCTTGCCGTTGTGATAAATAAACTGAAATAACGTATATTAACGTATGTTCTGAGTTTCTGTTGCCACGATTACCAACTACCGTTTGAGTCAGCGCATTAATTTAGAACAATCAGGTTATTTGACCGGAACTTCTTTATAGGTGTCCTATATCACTTTTTAATGGACACCCTGCAGCCAATCAGAATCGAGTATTCACCCAGACCATGGTATAATATATTTTATTCTTGTCAGGTGCTTTATTGTACTTTACAATCTTCTGTTTATCTCACTCCCTGTTCATGCCATCATTAGATACCTGCGTTCTTGTTGCAATGTTTGGTGTTTTTAATAGTTTGCCCCGTTTGAAAAGCACCAAGCTACATTCATAATACAGCTAAACTGATACCTCTCTAAAACAGTTTCAAACTAAACCTTCTATGAACATTCGTGCAGGCCTTCGGCAGCTATAAGGAGTGTTGATAGTTATAGGTAATAGTCAGTACACTACATGCTCCAGAACGTGGATAAAGTGCATGTTTATTTGCCGAAACAGTGACATATTTTTATTCTGCTTAAGCAAGCATACAACAAAAAAAGAATTTCTATGATATAAAATACTTCATTTGATGACAGCTGTGGCCGGGGGTGATGCTTGTTTGTGGGTCGTCCACGTGTCCCATTCTCGTGAAAGGCTTTGAGGGAATTTCTTCAAATCTTCAAATGTCCACTTTTAGTTTAGAATGAAATGATTCGATATACATTTTTTAAAACTCAAAAGTCACTCTGACCTCACAAAGCACATTTTTGGCCACAGCTCAAGAATCCATACGCTACCTATAACAAGTGATGTAGTGATGGGGGTATACCCAACGGGTCAGAGGTCACATCTGTACAGACATTGATGTAAACTGCAGTTTGACAGGTTGGTGGAGGCATACAAGCACCAGCAGTAACTCTACTTACACATGTACTAAGTCTGCCACTGTCAACTCAACAAAAAGCTTAAATTTTTGTCCTAAAAACAGGCCAGGTACCAGAATTTAGAATCAACTCCAGAAGTCTGGTGAGTATTATCATCACTTCTGCCTTTCAAAGGAAATCCTCTCCTGGCGTTGTTAATAACACTCCAGATATTCGCCACACAGCTGCAGGTTTCCAGCAATCCTCTCTCCAGATGTTACACAGTAAAATGAGAAGCAACAAAAACAACGTATTTACAAATTACTTTTCTGGCTACCAATGTGCAAGTAAGCCAATAACCACAGACTCTCTTTCATGCAGAGCACTAAGGCCTTTTCTGCCTGGAAAAAAAAAAAAGAATGCCTGTGGCCCAGCAAAAAGTGCATTAATGATTCATTTCCTTCACTAATTCTCCCACACAGACTTTGATCTGATTGACAGCAGCGTCACATTTTTACTAAGTCTGCGGGTGGAGACATGAGTCCCCTTGGGTTGAGATTTGCCACTAAGCAGACATCGTAGTTGTCATGCATCAGAACGCGCCGAGCCACCACCGTCCACCGGTTCTCCCACGGATCCAGCTCCAAAACGTCCTTTGTTATATCATCGTGGCGATCTAAGGGGAGTAAAGAAGCAGGAGGGTAGTACAGTCACACAGAGAGGAAGTTCAAATATCTTTTATATACTGGATGTTCTGTTGTTACCTGCTCCTTTGTAATATCCACAAACATAGATCTTTCCTCCCACCACGCCTGCATTGGATGCGTTGGTACGCAGTGAAAGCTGGGAACACGGGAGAGGAGGTCCTGCCCTCCAGTAATCTCCATCCGGATTGTAGATCTCCACAGCATCGAGGCAGTGACGGGACTGTCCGCGATCCACACCCTCACACCCAATGCCTCCTGCAAACCGGGCCACCACATAAATCAATTAAGACAGAAACCAATGCGGTCGATTCACCGAGCAAAATCACAACAATGCTGTGTCTAATAACTCCCAGTTCACTGAACAAAGTGTCTTACCCATAACATAGATTTCCCCATTGAGTGCCACAGCACTGCAGCGGTACTTTGAGTACTTCATGGGACCCAGCTCTGTCCACTTGTTTGTGTTTGGGTCGTACTCCAGAAGGCGGTTACTAAGACGGTCCGGCTCATCATCGGTCCGGTATGACTGGAAGGTAAGAACGGAGGGAGGGTGAGACAAAGCAGAGCAGGTGCACTCACACAAGACTCATGCACAAACACAACTTCTACTGAGTCTCATCCTCTATGTTTTGTACGTGTTTCGATAATTGCTGTGTAAAGATGTTCTGTTGCATCACCTGTGGGGTTCGACCGCCCATCACATACAGGCGATCTTTCATTCTGACCACACTGTGATAGGCCAAAGGCATAGGCAGGGGCGCCGCGCTCCTCCAGGGTCCACCCTGCAGAGACCATCGCTCCACACAGTTTGTGATGATAAACTGGTTCTTCAGCTTCATCTGTCCTCCCATTAGGTACACAGTGTCACCCAGCGAGCTCAGAGCGTAAGAATCACGGTACTCTGCTGACGTCAGGCGCTCCCAGCTGCCTTGTGCCTCCACTTTGTACCTTGAAACGCAATCAGACAACAATTAGTTCTGTCATGTGCAGGGCAATAAAAAATGCACCATCAAATGTGTTGCCTCTGTCTTACCTGTAGATCTCAACATGCATGTCTTTCTGGCGGGCCATTCTTCGTGCACTCGCCTCGCCTGCGACAATAATGTCATTTCCTTCAGTCACAACCCCAGTAGACACGTATCCCAGAGCCTCTCCATAACGAGGTGAGGTGATGTAGTAGGTTCGGCCTGTGGACGGAGCATAGCAAAAGCTGCGCTCAGCGAAGTTGCCGTACCTCGACCTGATCCCGCCGCCGTCATTACCAACACACAGCAGCAGATCTGTGGTCTCCATGCCATACCGCAGCTTTAGTTTGCGTGGTGCAGCTAAGGGGTGCATCGCTGTGACCTCCAGTGCTTCGTTCAGCATCTCTAGACATTCAGCATCAGCCAGCAGAGCCGTGTTCCTCTTCATCGCCTCTCTTAGGTACTCAGGGTTGATGAGCGGCAGACGAACTTTCCTCAGGAGCTCTGGTAGATGCCGACTGCGTACCTCCCCATCCATCGGAGCGCCATGCTTGACCCAACCGAGAACCACATCCAAGATGGTTTCTTCTCGTGAAACGTTCAGGTCATCAGAGGCCAGCAGCTTTCCCAGCTGATAAGCCTCCAACTCCAGGATCTCCTCACTGTGGCAGACTTGGACAAAGTGCTGCCGGAGGAAGCGCTGAGCGTGGTCAGCCAGCTCCTCTGCGCCAAGGTCACGGGCAAAGTAATACACACCAAGACAATTGGAGGCGTCCATGTTCTCAGTCATGTGCAGCTGACAGCGAGTGAAGACGTCGTCCATCTGCAGAAGAAACGCCGCGATGGAGATGCCCTGTACGTTGGCATTAGTGAGGGGAAGATCTGAGCAGTACATGTAGTTCAAGAGGAGGGCCAGGCTGTCCGCAGGGGTGTCGCGCAGGAATATTTCTCTGCTGCTGCACTCACGCAGGCCACACGTGAACATAACGCGAAAGTATGGGCTGAAGGCGGATAGAACAAGTCTGTGACAGGGGAAGCTGATGCCCTCAGCGACCAGCACCACGTCCGTCAGATGCTCAACCTCCCTCATCTTCCTCAGCTGGTCGAGCAGCACCAGCCCGTGTTTGGCAGTAAGATCCATTTTGAGTAAAAAAAATAAAAAGTTCACTAAAAGTAATATTTACAAAGCTGCACAGGAGGCTTCATACACCCCAAACAAACAGTGAGGCTTGTGTCTGCAAAACAAAGGAAAAAAAGTTAGTGGTGTTGAGGAAATTTTACATCTCACCGAATCTCTGTAGTTATTTTGGGTTCGTTGGATAGACGTGAAGTCGATCGGTTGTCCTCCGGACGTCGGCCCTCTCTTCTCTGAAATCTGTCTTTTAGAGTGAGGTAGAGGAGGATCTGAGTCCTGGTGGCCAACCACCAACCGTCCTGGAGGTCCCCGACGGAGCTTCAGCTATCCCACTTCTGACACCAAGTTGTTGAGGAAATTTTCTATGATCTACATAAAGTCCAGTAGTCCAAGTTGTCTTTGTCTCGTTTTATTCAAAGCTTTGAAGGTACAGGTCATACAGAATGCAAGCAGTCTGCAGGAGAGTACCCATGAGTGCAGGCAGCGTGGTATTCTTATACATGTACAGGCGTGGTCTTTACTCCAATGGTAGTGTAACAATCCCATGCTGGAAAACAACAGCTGGGTGTACAGGGTGTACTCATCCACAGACATTAGAAGACTAAACACGCTGGACCAGGCATCAATAGTCTAAACACATGGGATGCACAACTTCTTCTTCCCATGTACGGCCACTAGTGTTTACCTGGATGTTATGGGAACACATTTTGGGCCTGTAACCTTTCCACTCAGCTTTAATGAAACTTAGAGAAACTTAGAGAAACTTGCTTTGACATTCTTCATGCAGATGCAGTATTTTTCCATTACAGTGCTTATATCACACTGCAGTTTCATGAGCAAACACTGGAGTGAAATCTGTACAAACTATCGTCAGCAAGGTTTGATTTCGCAACATCTTATTTTGCAATATCAGGTTTCGTGGCATAAAAACGTTAATAAAAGATAATATTTCAATCAGGATCAAATTAAAGGCCTTTGAAAACACTATTAAAGCATTCTGATCATGACTAACAACAATCCAAAGGAGCTTAATTTTTCAGAAATCCCCATTTTAATGAGCTAAATTTGCCAATTAGCCCCTTTGAATACCAAATATTGTGTAAAGCAACCACAACATGCAACACTCAGCGTCCTTCTGACAAGTCTTACCGAGACCTGCTTTCTTCGGTCTAAGAAGACCAGTAAATATCCGTGTTTTTCAACAGGCTACATGTGTTGTTGATGTTGCCGAATGTGCCAGTCGCTGGGGTTAGAGAGGTCTGAGCACACGCGAGGCAGAGTTATGTGCCCCCCTCCACTGCTGCTGCCCCCTGAGCCGCAAATCCAAAAATAGACAGTGTTGCTGCAGACAGTAACTGTGTCACAGAGATTTGAGTGATAAGCAAAGAGAAGGTTTCAAAGCAGCCACGATAACAAACGTATGATCTACTTTCCAAATCAGATGTTGGCTCATTAGCAGTGTGTTGCACTTAGTTTGGAGTTATTCTCATTTCCAGTTAGTTTGCTTCAGTCACGTGCTTGCAGCTCTGGAACGACTGAAACATTGCTCCTAGCTCGGATTCAGATTTCATGACCGCACTCTCTTAAAGACCCAGCATGTACTGTATGTCAGCGTGTTTCAAAAATACAGCTTCCCCTCTTAGTTGGATCTTCAATATCAGAATTCATCAGGTCGTTGCATTCAACAGTAAAATGTGTTTGTACATCTAACTTGACTGACCACAGGTGGATTTTCAGTGAAAGTCTCTTTCAAGTTGACAATTTGTTTAGAAGTTTCCTGCACTAAAGTCTTGAGCAATGCAGTCTGGGTAATATTTTATGGTTCGTCAGCTTCATTTTTGTTGTTGAATGGAAAAACAGGGAGGAAAGAAACACACAATCGGTGAACCTCAATGGAGTTAATCTTTTCCCTCTTTCAGGCCGTAATTACATCTTTGGCTTGTTGCGGTCAGTCATCACTGCCCACAACATCCTGGCTGTAGTTAACCATTAGGCCCTATGGTGTACATATGCAGATGCGGTTGTTTTGACAGTTGCGGTGCAGCGACTGGTTTTGGCGGACAGTCTGAAATAAATCTGTGCTGCGTATTAAAAGAGACAACTTGCACAGAGTTGGACAGATTCAATCCAATGGACTCCACACGCAAATTTGGGAAATACAGAGTAGAGAGAGAAGTGTTGGATGAGCAGAGACTGGAAGATTTAACACAGAGAAAAACGTACTCTGATGTCCATCGTTCTCCAACTGAGCAGCTTAAAGATTCCCTAAGGTAAGGCAAACTTTGATTTTTCAGACTATGCAGTTTACTGTACGTAGCATAAATTCAGTGAGTTTGTGAGGAGAACATCTACCAGTTTACCATTCAAATACCTCCCAGATGTACCGTACCCAGACTGAAGCGAGGCGTGATGAGCAGCTTGCCTGTGTTGTACTGGCTGCCCAAGTACTCAATCTGGGACTACGGCATGCCGGACCTCGTCTCTGGGATTAGTGTGGGCATAATGCACCTGCCACAAGGTATGAAAATAATCCACCACGGCTGAGTGAAAACCAACAATACTGCAGAAAGAAACTCAAATTGACTGCCATGATTTGTGCTAATATATGACTTAACTAAAAGTATTTCTCATTCTTCTGTAGAATATTTCGCTTACCAGCTCCTTAAACATATTTAACTGGTGTAACTTAATCGTCCACAGGTATGGCGTATGCATTGTTGGCTTCTCTGCCTCCCGTATTTGGCCTCTACACATCCCTCTATCCAGCATTAATCTACTTCTTTTTTGGAACGTCACGTCATATTTCCATCGGTATGTAGTAAACGTTGTACTGTGACCGTCAACAGAACTTTCAATAACACATCTTTCATTTGTGCTCAGGTACATTTACGGTGCTCAGCATCATGGTGGGAAGTGTGACAGAGAGACTCGCTCCAGATGTGGATTTCCTCATAAAAAATGGGACAAACATGACTGCAGAGGTGGACATCACTGCCCGGGACTCCTACAGGGTGCAGGTGGCAGCTGCTACCACTGTCCTCGGAGGACTTATTCAGGTTCCAGTGTATTTACAGAACATCCCAACATATTAATGACCTATTTTGCCGTTCCAGCTACTAAATCCCATTTATACCTAAATGTTTGTGCTCATAGGTGCTACTGGGGGTTGTAAAGTTTGGATTTGTGGGAACGTACTTGTCTGAACCTCTGGTGCGAGCTTATACAACGGCTGCTGCAGCTCACGCCGTGGTGGCGCAGCTGAAGTACATCTTTGGAGTTTCCCCCACACGGTTCAGCGGGCCGATGTCACTGGTGTATGTGAGTGCTATCCTCTATTGATTGTGCTCGCTGTGCTTTTTTTGATATGTAAAACAGCCCTGACCTATTTGCTTTATGTGTGTCTGCACAAAATCTATTGTAATTACATTATATACGTTCCCAGTGGAGTTCTATGCTCTCCTGAAAAGGCCACCAGAGTCCAGTGTTGCATAATATCAGGTCTGCTGACTCTGTGTAAAGCAATAAATCAAGATTTTGCTCGTCAAAGTTGGTTTACAGGTCAACGGCATATGAGAAAAAAGGTTGTAGAAGGGTTCTGTTGGCTCCAGAAAGAGATGGAAGAAGTTTATTACACTAAAATCTGATAGAATACTGTTTAGCAGCTTGACTATACACATTGTTTTCCAAGAAATGTAAATAAAAAGCATTGTCATATGTCAGCATTTTGCTATTTATTGTAAGCTATGTGTGGAATATGGCACAGGGAAATAGACAATAGTTGAAAGAGTCCTTTAAGACTTATGACTTGGTCTGTAAAAAATAGTTAAAAATAAAAATGATTGAAAAAATAATAACTCAACGAAAAGAGTTTTTAAAAAAAGGCAACTTCATCCAACAAGCTGCACAGTGTTTGGAAGATTAGCTTTTCCACAACTATAAAAGTTGTTTGTCCATTACCAGTCTTAATAGTACAAAAAAAATACAAAACAAATCCTGAAGTTATCGAGCCAATTTCATTAAGTTACCGCAAAATGAATTTAGGTTTAAATCATCTAAAGCAGAAATGTGAGTTTAAATTACCCACAATATAATGTTCATGCAATTATCAACATTATTATGTCAACAGAACTCAGCAGAAATAATGTTTGCTTAAAAGATTTATCTAGATCAGTAAAATAGGATGTTTATTTTGCAGCCATGTATTTAATTCAGTGGATGTAAGCCGCTTGAATGACTTTTTAGAGTGTAATAGGGATACAATTGTTACGTGTATGCAGCTCTGCCACCCCCTTTTTTTGTTTCTTTTTTAATTTCCAGACTCTGAAGGATGTTTGCTCGTTGCTGCCACACACTCATCTCCCCACGCTGGTGGTCAGCGCCGTGACCATGGCGCTTCTCATCGCAGCCAAGGAGCTCAACTCATTCCTCCATCCGAAGCTGCCGGTGCCCATCCCAGTGGAGCTCATCACGGTCGGTTGATGCGAGGACACTCTCTCTGCCTCTCCGGCCTCTCGTCTCTCTTCACGTTATCACCTCTGAGCTCTGTGCTGACGCTGATGCTGCAGCACTTAAAAAGCACAGACTTAGTGGAAACAAGCAGCTGAATCAGCAGCAGCACCAGGGCTTCTGCTGGGTTTTTTTTCTTTTCTTTTTTGCATGCCACAGCAAAAATGTGATATGTATGGCTAATAATTAGGTCCACATCTAGCTTATAATTAACCAGCTTTGAATAATTGATGTTTGAGGGTTGAATCATATGTTGAAATAAACCCTTTTGTGTTTGCTTCAGATTGTGGCAGGGACACTAGTGTCATCATATGCCCACTTAAACGGCAACTACACTATCTCAGTTGTTGGAGACATTCCGAGTGGGTACGTATCTGTGTTCTTTGTTGAGTCATGTTTCCAGCTTGTTTGGTACTAAGTGGTGGTTGTTCTCTACTTGTGTGCCAGGTTAAGCCCTCCCTGCGTACCAGATGTGAGTCTTTTTGGAGAAGTTATAGGAGATGCTTTTGCTTTGGCCATTGTTGGATACGCCATATCTATTTCCCTGGGTAAAACATTCGCAATAAAACACGGATACAAGGTGGACAGTAACCAGGTGAACCAGAATTCACATTAAAGCAACATCTGCTTCTCCCCTCAGTCGTTTTGTTTTCCTTGCTAATTTTTTGTCTTTGTCTCCATCTTGCTGCAGGAGCTTGTGGCGCTGGGCCTCAGCAACGCAGTGGGAGGCTTCTTCCAGTGCTTCTCTGTCTGCCCCTCCATGTCTCGAAGTCTAATCCAAGAGAGCACCGGAGGTAAAACACAAGTGAGTGAGCAGCGGAAGAATCAGCATCACAAAGAGCAACAGTGGAGGAGTCGGCACAGCCTCGCTAACCGGAGCTGTTCTATTTGTGCAGTCACACGTGCAATAAAAAATCCCCATGCAATAGTTTTACTCCCAGTGGTCAACAAATGGTAGACGAGTGAGGAATGTTTGAGAGTGAGTAAGAAGGAAATTAAGCAGATTTACATGTAAAATGAAATAACACACTGACCTACAAATAGAACGATCCTCTGGATGGTAGAAGAATACTTACAATTTGTTAAAATACTAATATATATACATACAAAGTGCTGTCATATCACCAGGTTGCTGTCTAGCTGTGGATTTCTAGACAAACTCATATGTTCACATTGAATAAATCAATAAACCATCTTGTTCTTGCAGATGGCTGGAGTGGCCTCAGCTCTAATCGTGCTCGTGACGATACTCAAACTTGGAACCCTTTTCCAGGAGCTGCCAAAGGTTCAACTGCTTTATTGCAGTAAATATTTATGACACAATGCAGATTCTTATTTTCATTTTTGCCATATTGATTTGCCTCATTTACCAATTTATTTACACATCCGATCCATCGTGTCGTTTTAGGCCATCCTTGCATCGATCGTCTTTGTAAATTTGAAGGGCATGTTCAAGCAATACGCCGACATCGTCACGCTGTGGAGGAGCAGCAAGATTGATCTGGTGAGAGGACAAATCAATTATTCTGTGACAATGTCCTTACAGGCAACAATAGTGGCAGAGTTGGCTTTTTATGCCGAATCTGTGAAAGAATTGTCCTCCTGCGATCATCCAGGTGGTGTGGCTGGTCACCTGGGTGTCAACAATGCTGCTCAATCTGGATCTGGGTCTGGCGGCATCCATCACCTTTGCTCTCTTCACTGTTATCTTCAGGACTCAGATGTAAGATTCTCCTGTTCGTCCTCATGATATATTCATCTCTGCAGCATCCTGAGTCATCCCGTGTGTGAGAGAGGAAGCATTAGATGTTGGCCTGCAGCGTCCACTTTATTAGACGAAACGTTGTGCACAGACATAATGCACACGCAAATAAAGGGTTTTTTTATTTTATTTTTCAGGCCGACATACTCTGTTCTGGGTAATGTTCCCGGTACAGAACTGTATGTCGACATAGAGACCCACAGAGAGGTGAGACGAAAAGACGGAAAGCCAAAAATTAAAGCTTTTCCTACCCAGACTCCTGATGTTTCTGTGTTTGACAGGCCAGAGAGATTCCAGGTGTGACTATATTTCGCTCATCTGCTACCGTATATTTCGCCAACGCTGATCTCTACCTCGAAGCCCTGAAAAAAAAGGTTTGTTCCCCACGAAAATACTAATCCTGTGGCTGGTGATTATTTTAATTGCAGAGTACACGTTTATTTTCTCTGTCATAGAAAGAAATGTCCTGTTTCATCACTATAAGGCCTGATGATTTATTATTATGTGTGACTAAAGCAGCTCACCTTTCAGATCCTGACTGACTTTCATTCATTTAAAACCTTTGTGTAGCACTTTGTAAGATTGTTCTGTATGAATTATATCTTAGTATTGTCAGTAAATCACATTTTCATTTGCTTATCTGTTTTCAGAGTGGGCTAGACATCAGTAAGATGATCATCTATAAGAGGAGGCAGGAGGCCAAACAGAGGCGACGAGAAAGAAGAGCCGAGAGACGGGCAAAGAGGCGAGCCAAGAAAGAGGTGATATACCAGAAATGTGCAGTAAAATGGCAGCAACGTGGGTTATTTTTGTCAAAATGTATATATATATTTTTTGGCAGTTTGGCCACTTGTTACACGAATACGAGAAGAAAACTGCCACCAGAATCCTTAATATAAGTATTGTACATGTGCTATGGACCACTTCACAGCAAGCATACTGATTTATTTCACCCACTGCTTCTCAGAGACGGGCTCAGAGGGCGGCTGAACAGCTCCCTGGATCTGCTGTGGTCTCTGTCGAGGAAGATGTCGGCTTCTGGGGGGACACGTGTATAGACGGGACAGTTTCAGAGGAGGAGGACCAGAACTGGACCGAGAGGGAGAACGGGACAGTGTTTGTCATCCCGACCACTCCCCGAACGCCAGACGGTCCGTCTAGATGGGAGTACCTGAAAGGAGGGGATCCAGACTGCACCAGCTTAGACTGGATGTCTGAGCTGCAGGACGGGGACACCACCACTCTGGGCTCCAGCAGCGAGGACACGCTGAGTCGAGACCTGGAGCGGGTCTCTCTTGGGTCTCTGGGCAAGTGGACCTGGGACATTCACTCCATTATTCTTGACCTCTCCACGGCTAACTTCATCGATACAGTGGCGATCAAGACGATGAAAAACGTAGGTTGTAAAGGAGGAAACAGGATATGGCTTAAAAGCCCTCAAGGGTTGTTTCATCTTAAATCACCAGGGGGCTTCTGCTCGACCTTCTAGGAAATCCTAGATTGAAATGTCAAACACTTTGTGGGATAAAGAAAAAAAAATGCCTGTCAACATGAAACACGTGGTTAAAAAAAGAAAGTACTGCTAGACTGCCTGATCCGAGTCCTGGTGTTTCAAAGTGGGCATAAAAGGAAACAGAAACAGTCACTTCCTTTATATTTTAAGACAAAGCATTTCATATTAAAAGGTATGTTTTGTTTGGTGTTATTATGACATGCAGCTACATATGTTTAGGATAATATCACTATTTGCCTTCTGTATTACACATTTTTTTGTTGAGCTCAAAAATGGGACATTTCCTGACAGCCTTAGCTTTTGTTTTCATATTTCACCTCACCCGTCAGACATTATTTGATCTGCTGGTCCAATATCGCAGATTCTGAATTAATAACATGATGAGAAACAACAGTGAAAATTCCAGACTTTTATCTTTAATATTTCCTGAGACATTCAAACATAACTTTAAATTTCAATGTGTGAAAAAAGCCTGCTAGAAGTGGGATGACGGTCAATTAAAAAAGTCTTAGAAAGAACTAGACATATCTAGCTATAATTTCACAAAGGTCTTCATAGATATCCATATTTTGCGCTATAACATTTTTAGGCTAATTAGAGATGGTCGAGCTGAGATGGAATGACTCGACTGTCTCTTCATGTTCCCTCATTTGAAAAGCTCAGGGTAGAACACGCACACTTTCGGGTCATCCAGGGGTCAGATAGCCGATAAATGACAAATCTTAATGCCAAACAAGGCATAAAAAACCCCCACAGACAACACAAACCTGTACCTACAGCGAGCACCTACTCTGACTTGATGTTTTTATCACACTGACAGATTTTCCAGGACTTCAGTGAGATTGATGTGGACGTCTACATGGCCGGTTGTCAGGGTGAGTGAACACCTTCTCACTTCCTCCAGGCTGCTGCGCTGCATTAAACTGCTCCGTCATGGTGGCGGCTTCCCAGTAAACTGGTTTCTTTTCAGCCTCTGTGGTGGAACAGTTGGAGCGAGGCGACTTCTTCTCCGAGACGATATCGAAGAGACGTCTTTTCGCCTCCGTTCATGACGCTGTGCTCTACTGTCTGAACCACCGTGGAGCGACATCCTTCCCCAGATACGAGCCGTCGCTGGTGAGTGTGTTCAGGCTTTATCTGGAAAGCTTTTATTATGACATATTACAGTTGATTCTCAGCACTGAATGATTCACTGAGATACACATGGAGGTAGCATCAACTACAAGTGACTTCCTACAACCTGTTTAATTACAGGACATGCACAGAAGCACGAAACTTTAGGGTCTTCAAGCGAGCAGAGGACGGAAGAACACCGACTGGAATTAACATCAGGAGCTGAGAAATGTTATTTGCAAATTAACAGATGAAAGAGTGAAGGTAAAAAGAAATGACTAAATCTGGTTTTAGTCATCTTGTGACTAAACGCTGTCTCCTATTGTTGACTTGATATTTATACATTTTGTGTTCATGTGAAAGGAAGAGCAACACGGTAGAGCTTCATTTAACTTTATTCAGTGTAGGAGACGGAACATTTTGACATCGTAAATAAATAAAATGGAATCTGAACATCTGAGCAATACCTTGTGCATTTTAATGTGTTTGTGCATTCTACAAGAAGAGAATAACGAGGAATCCGAGGAGCAGAGACAAGGCAACATGCATCACACTGACAGTGTGTGAGCCTATTTTTGGTAATGGCAGCAATAACAAGGTAGGACATTGAAGTGTTTACAACTGTCATTTCAGTTTTCAAGTGCAATTTTTGCTCATGGCAACAGCAAAACGTGTTGAAGGTAATGCATGCAAAGGAAAGTTTGCTTCTTTTTTGTTTTTGTTTTTTTAAAATCACAACTCCTTGACTGAGCGTCTTGTGCGACACTCCTAAAATGGAAAATTATAGTAGATAGAAAATAACAGGATCGCAATATCCAAGCAATATTTAACAAAAGCATCTCTTTACTGTTGCATAAACCCACTGTGACCTCATTCCCTGAATAAATCTTGTCTCTACATACCGGCCACAGAGGATGTCACCAGAAACGTTGTGCACAGGACTGAGGAAGGCGAGGAAGAAGATTTTTTGTTCTATATAAATTTGGCATATGAGCTACAAGTCTTGATGGATGCTGGGACTCTGTATGTCTGTGTTCAGAGGCAGACCTTCGTCATCCTCGTCCTCTTGCTGCTGTGACACCAACTGCTGATAGCGAGCCTGCCGCTGGTAGTCCGGATCAATATTGATCCATTTATTGGCGACCCACTTAGTGCCTTGTGTGACCATACAGCCTCCATGCAGAGCGTATTCATCCTGCTCCCCCACCCAACCTAATGAGAAAAATAGAAACATCTTTATAACATCCTCTGTATCGCTTCGGCTATCAGACACACGGCCTCAACGGATGAATGAAAGATTAATCAGGAGAGCAGGTTTGTTTTCTTCGCGAACATTACAGCAGAGTTTCAGTATGTGATGAAGCTGTAACAATATGTCCAAATTATTTCATATTTTAACACAAATACGGGCTTGAATCGCAACTTTTAACTGTATTATACACATGGACCTTTACTGTTTGCATGAATTGTGCCACCGAACATAAGAAAAGGTTAACTGGTAACATTAATTTAATCTTTCAGCAACTGTTAGATTTTAAAAAGGAGTTTTATACACACATTCTTAGCATTAGAAGATTTATCTTCATGATATAGGTGATCCCATGTAATTTTTATTCCTGCCCTACCACAAGGGTAATGCTATGTGTCCACTGGGGCGATTTTCCCCACGCCGGATCGCGTTGCTTCCTAAAATCGCCCGAGTCGGAGGCGTGCCACTAGCGGCCTGGTAGGTGGTGTCTATGTCTATGGCGATGCTGAACTCTGAAGACCTCAGCATCTTCTCCTTCTATCCTGCCTGCACCTGATTGGACAATCGCGTCGACTTGCTAGCGGTGTGCTCCGGGATTTCAAACCAGACCAACGTGGCGGCTCGGCCACAAACTTTCGCTGTTATTACGAAAACCGTTCAGCGAAAAGTATTTCTGTAAACACTTGAGGCAAGAAACAGGCTATGCAGTTGCTGAATCTGTCCTTATTTTAGTTCAACAATGGCTAGTTTAGCTGTTTTATCAAAGTTTTGCGAGGCGTCAGACCTCCGTTCCCTGCACCATATTTGCATAAAGTAGAAGTCAAATCTACTTTATGCAAATTAATGGCATAAAATGTATATCACACATTCATGTTACTCAACACTGTATCCGTATGGTGAACCACTAACTTTAATCTGATTTGTCTTTAAAAGCTAACGGCTTTACTGCACAATCCAAATCCTGCAATAATTTTAATGGCCAGCAGGGAGCGACTCCTCTGATAGTAAAAAAAGATGTATGCACAGAAGTATGACAAAATAACGGTACTTCTCACTTGACATGCTAACTTAGTAAACATTTTCTTAGGAATTTTTTGGCTTCAATTTCTAGTTTTAAATCTCCTTGAATATAGCATTGGTGTTCATTTAAAAAATTATGGTTGAACTTGGAGTAAAACAGACTGAGACGGCCAGTCTCAGAAGACCAAGAGGACAAAGACTAAACTCTTCTTTGAACTGGTAGTCCATAAACCAATAGGTAGCCTCACGGTGGATATGTCTATCATTTACAAACAGTCTTGGTTCATTTCCATTAACATCATGATTGGCTTTTGCACTCTGACTTGGGGTTTAATGTTCAAACATAATGAACATACCAGAAGACTGTAGCTTTAAAAAAAATGCTTTTTTTTTACCCACATCAAATCAAAATTAAATTAAATTGCTAAATTTTTTTTTTTTTATCTTTTAAAACATTGAAAACAGTTTGTAAATCTACCCACCTCTTCCATCAGAGAGGTAGTTGTACCAGAAAACCGCCGTGCCCCTGGTTGGCTTCACTCTCAAGTTACTCTTGTCACAGTTCCTCCTGGTGTCCAGAAGATCCACGTCATTCTGTATGAGAGACTAGAACGCACAATCAAAACTCAGCGGCGCCGTTTGCTTGATATCGGGTCCATGCTCTCACTGACAAACGAGTGAGTTAACACAGATATGAAAGACATGCACAGTATGTACACAATACTTTTGCAGGACTCTCCGTAACATCTCCAGACCCAGACACAGTTACGCACCACTTCGTCATAGGTCCTGTTGTCTGCCACAGGGAATGCGGTCTCCCCGCCCCCATCAACAGAGTTCAGGTAGAAGAGAACTGTGATGTACCTAAGTGTGCAACACAGATTTAAATTGACACACACATGTATGGTGCAAACAAACAGTACACAAACACACATATACAAACACTCGCTGGCAAGCACACAAATTTGTCCAAGTTGACGATGTTGAGTCACACAAACCAACGTGCCAGTTGTCACTATGGAGTGTTAACGCACAGTCGGACAGATGAGTTCACGCCGAAGCACTGACGGATATCTCTGAGAAATGCCACATGTGTTTGTTCAGTAATCTCACCTGCACGACGTCTCAAAGGGAGTGGAGGTGTTGGCTGCCAGGCGTGTGTGTGTGCACGCCGTTTCGGGGTAGACGGGGCCGCTGTCGTGGTGGGCGTGGTAGTGCCCCCCCTCCTCGTAGCGGACCACCTGGAGCGGCTCGCTGAGGTCCACCAATGTGGGTGGGAGGCGAGTGAGGCGAGTCACCCTTTGTAAGGACAAAGTGGAGAAATGATCAGTTGTAAAACATAAAGTGATAGCACTCAATGAATCCTGTGTTATGTGTTTTCCTCACCTCGCCTTGATGTCTTGGAGGACCTGGTGCGCCCCTTTTCCCTGGTAGAGCCACGTGTGTTGGCTGTTCCTCACCAGCTGACTCCTCTTCACCCCTTGCTGCAGCAGGAAGCGCTGGAAGGCGTCGTTGCTCAGAAGCCTGAACTCTTCCAGACTCAGTAAACCTGTCCACAATGTGAGAATGTGCATCAGTCCTGGTGCCATAATTCATCCATCCATCCATTTTCTATACACC